TCACAATTAGTTTAAATCATATCAGCTATCATGTCTTTAGATTAGTATGAATACTCTATGTATTAAGAAGAGTACCTAGGAATTAGCTCTCTTTCCATAAATATTGATATAATATCATAAGTCTAATTGGATACTATCAAAGGTATTATGGAATACGTGCCATATCCTCTGCATCTAAAAAGATCATTAGTGTTAATTATAAATCCAACTTGTTTATTGAAATATGCTAAATTCCAATCCCTACTACTTTTACCTAACATTCGATTAGTAAAGCCGGCTAAGATAACCCCATAGACAGGAGAAAATATTGAAGATGAAATAGAGAATACAGTACCTTATCCGAATAAGTTAATTTCCAAAACTGAATTATCAGATGATTAAAAACTCATCGTAATATGAAAGCATTTTCCATTCATATCAAGAACTATTAACTAAAATACTTCTTAGCTAGATCATATTAGGAGAACATTTTTAAGTTATGGTAAATTTAGTTTGTAAATAGCCCAGTTTTTTACATCTAATATACTTAAGTCAACTTCGACCTGAAATAAAAAAATTGAAGGATCAATACCGTTCCAATCAATTTCAATAGTACCAATAATGATATCAGTTGAGGAAGTATTAGTATCTGATTTATAAACACACATTTATGTTACCCTTGTTTCTTTATTAGCCATTGATTAATTTTTAATTAGATAGTTTTCTTTAATTGTGAAGGTCTAATTATTCAATGAAAGTATTGAAAAGGTAGAAATTTGAACATTAGTTACTTCATCATATAATAGTGTTCCTCCAATATAGAAGTAATCTTGATTAGAAGATTAAGAAATAATTACAGCTTACCCTTGTCCTTTAGATACAAAGTTTTATTGATAGTTAGTTTAAATGTTTAAATACAACAAACTAAATTGAGATTATATATTTGTCATTGCTGCTAATAAAAACTCTTAACTACCAAACCGCTCAGAAAAAATTATATCTCCTTAAAATGAGTACCAAAAATTACTAGGATTTCTAAATAATTTATAAATGCTGCCGTCAATTTCATGAAGAATAATGATTATATTTGGATACCCATCTCTAATTGCGATTACTTTTGTATTATTCAAGCTATAACTAACTTTAATAAATGGCTTCTGATCTTCAAGCCAAAAAGTTTTTGCCCATCTGTATATATTTCCTTCCTCAATTAAAGCTATGAAAGGAGCACCGTATCTAGGTGCTTAATTAAGGATATCAGAACTATTGCTAAAACCTGAAATTACAATATTTTCTTGATAGATATCCATTGAGTGAATTTAAGTCACACCATTTAATCCTCCGAGAAACATCGGAAATGCGTTTTTTAAGCAACTGTTTGTATTCCCAATAACTTGTTTTAAAATTAGAGCGAAGAGTAAGATTGATAAAATGCTCTTTTTGAAATAGAAATTCTATTGAAGTTTATTAGGGCTGTGATTTATGTTTTGAGCTATTTTCATCTTGAAATTGTTATTTTCAATCAATAATATCTTTTTGTTATGACAATTATATAAAGATTTCGTGCGTCGTAAATGAATCATTAGTTTTTTATTACTTTAAAGATCCTTTTTGTACAAATAATTTTTATATAGCAAACTATTCTAATTAATAATTAATGCAAATAAGGAGATTAAAACGCTATTTTTATTTGTTTAATTGATTAAAAGTAAATTCTATCCTAGGGGTTTTGGGGTTTTGGGGCCTTTGAGGAATCAAAATCAGCTGATAGTCTTGATCTCACATTCGAGACTCT